CAAATCTAATTTAATTTTCATTCAATTTCATTATCTTCAATATTATCAAAATAATTACTTAATATCGCTGAATCATTCATATACATTATATTAATTTTAATTCATTATTTATCAACTAACATAATTTTAACTAATTATCATTTCACATCATCTCTCTCATACTTTTACATCAAATTAATTTTATTAATTTTATTTTAATATAAATTCAAAATTTCACTAACAATTAATCATACTACATTTTTAAAAATTAACTAAACAACGCCAAAATCCAAACTTAATCAAAATCAACTGAACCATGTTGCAAACATTATTATCAGTTTCTAGGATACCTCACATTCATAGATTTCAGTTTTACTACACTTAAATGACTTAATCATAGATAAACTCATATCCTTAGTTATACACTGAAGCTCAACCAATGATATTTCATCAGGATCACAAAAAACAATATGATATATACCAAAATTCGGGCCCATGTAATGTGTACTGCCTAGGTTAGCAAATGAACCATTGTGATAGAATCTAATTGTAAATAATGTGGAGCTAGCACCTGTAAGAAAAAAAAAAAAGTTTCAACACCTTGATGTGAACTTTTTTAAAAATCATAAATTGGTCAAGAATATTTCAGGATGTTTCAAGCAACTGAAAGCAATTTCTCCATGGCTCAATCAAACACGAGAATCTCATAACCCTAGACTCATTTACAAAGGAACCAGCACATACAACCAATGACCACAAATGCAGTATTTAAATACCAAGCATCAATAATTAACTATAACCAACTCACTGTAATATGAGGCCATTCTATCAGTATGTTGATCGCGAAACTTCCGACCCATTTTTGGGTTTTAGAATGCCAAAGTCGAATTTTGGATAAAAAAAGGCAGAAAATTTGCCCTAAATTTACCTAAATCATGTCTAATAACTTGAGTGTTGGGCGAAAGGACAATGATGCACTTATAAATCAAGTAATATAACTGAAGTGCCCTTTAATAATCTGGTTTTTAGGCTTGTAGCGTGCCCGACTAATTTTTCGGTAAATTTTATGGTATCCGGTAGGATGAGGTTGCTTTTTCTAAAAAGTGATTAGTTCAGGTTGATGTTTATCAAAATAAAAAGTTTAAGTTGCATTTTTACACAGCACGCAAAAATCAGGTTTGTCTAATTTTTTTCCCCAAAAACATATCAAGTGAACACATTTTATCTATTATGCATCTTTATCTAGTTTTACAACATATTATTATTATTATTATTAATTGGGCATATAAAAAATTTAATTACATGCATATGAAATTCTTCATCAAATTAATCTCGTTCGACCATCTCACTCGTTGGTCATAGGCTCGTCTTATATTAGCTTGAGCGCGGATCAAAACACATCAGTCCAAATTCCCTTCTTCTTCCAACAAGCATCCCGTGCAAAACATCTCCCCCGAAGTTTACACTGCAAATCCATTTCTGTTACCTCCTCAGTGAGTGCTTAAGGTATGTATAGCCTCTCCATTCAATCCCTAAGCTCCATTTTTTTTGTATGATTTTTTTACTGTGTTCATGTTTGATATAATTGGGTTTGTCGAGAAAGGTTTGGAATATGTTTTTATTACTATTATCGAAAGAGATGCATTTTCTGGTTTTCATTTTTTCTTAAGTTCCTCATAGATCTTGCATATACTTTGGTCTTCAGTAAGTTTTTCATGTCGATTCTGAAGTTTGAGGGTTCGCTATGATTATTATTACTTGTGGATTCTTCCTACTTATATAATCCTCAAAAGGCTCAGTCCCGATGTACAAAATGCTTCCGTTTTGGTGCAGACAGCATTGATAGTTTCTGATCATGGCGCCTTTGTTCTTTTTATTTTCTATTTTTGCCAGTTTATTTCCCTCGGGCATTGAACATTAAACAAGATACTAATGGGTGACAGTCAGTACTCTTTCTCTCTCACCACTTTCAGGTATGTGTACGTTGGTTGCTCAATTGTTCCAATGTTATATTAGTCTTGTATGGTAATCATTTATATTTATCATGGCTTCAGCCCCTCGGGGAAGCTCGTTCAGATAGAACATGCTCTTACAGCTGTTGGATCTGGTCAAACATCTCTAGGAATCAAAGGTGAGTTCTATTTGCCCTTGTGAGAAACTTTAGTCATGAACTGGATCATGAATACATATTAACAAGTGATGGATCCGCATATGAGGATGCATTAGGTTTATTATTGTCAAGGGTCGCTTTCTGTTTGGCTTCTATATATGTGTAATCATAATCTGCTAATGTTGCTCATCAAACTTGTTTTAGAAACCTTCAGTGTTACTGATTGTGTTTGCTTGGGTGGTTGCAGCTGCTAATGGTGTTGTTATTGCGACAGAGAAGAAATTACCATCTATTTTGGTTGATGAGACATCTGTAAGTGTTATTTTATCGGCCTTTATTTATATAATAACAAATGAATGACAGATGATGTCATCTTTTGGTCTGATGATCGCTCCTTTCCAGGCTTCTCAGTGTCTGTTTGATAGTCTCTTACAAACAAATTGTGTATCATAATGGTGTTGAACTGTGTTTCCGTTTTTCCTTATGATCTTGTCCTGGATGTTTGAGACAAATTTATTTTTCCTTCACACGATTCATATTTTCCTGTATCTCATGTGACGAGTATGTTGCTGATGTATGAAACAGGTCCAGAAGATTCAGATTTTGACCCCAAACATTGGAGTTGTCTACAGGTTGATATAAATTAATTATTCACATCAAAGATACTTAATATGCTATATTGAGGCCTCTAAGCCATACTTTTATGATTTTAAGATTTTTGTTGTCTTGTGATGCTAAATAAGTGAGAGGCTTGCTTCTTGGGATTGTGTGACTAGTCTTGGTTTATCTTGGTGTTAGTTCCATTATATGTACTCTTCCATGAGTGTTTAATCATTAAGTGAAACTTTTATGATCATTTGACATTAATCTTTGTATTTTTGCAGTGGTATGGGACCTGATTCCCGAGTTTTGGTGCGCAAAAGTAGAAAGCAGGCTGAACAATATTTCCGACTGTACAAGGTATTTACCTTCCTAGGCAGCATAAGCATTATACAACAATTTACCTCAATTGCAAAGAGCTCAACTAGAACATGTTATGCTGACCTGGATAATTATTTTGAAAAAAAAAAGGAACCAATTCCAGTTACTCAATTGGTGAGGGAAACTGCCACTGTTATGCAGGAGTTTACTCAATCAGGGTATGTAATACTTTTCACTAGTGTAATTGTTGCTGATTTAATGAGGGTGTTTATCATAATTTTTTAACATAGTTGGCAAATCTAGACGTTAAGGTCCTGAAATATGGTTATAAAAGAGTAGAGACATCCTCATGATTTGGTGGTATCCAGTATCCATGAAGTTATCACATGCAGAGTTTTATTTACTAGTAAGTTTTGTTATAAAACACTTGATTTGAATTTCCTCGAGGAAAGTTTCTGTGGATCTCCTAGATGAAATAGTTGATACTGCACTATTATGTAGATCATGCCTCGACTCTTGGAAAATTAAGTTCATTGTTAAGTGGCCAACTTGTTTAAACTTGAATTATTTTCCCAATGTATTAGTTACTTTGAGGGACTAAAATCATGATAGAAATATATCCGTTGATTTCTTATGCATACATAAAGATTTAAGCCCTAAATGTTCTATCTATATCCCAACAAACATGTCTTCTCTAAACTTTTGGCTCTTCGGATAGTGGCGTGAGGCCATTTGGTGTATCGCTTTTGGTTGCCGGATATGATGACAAGGGTCCACAGCTGTACCAGGTATATTTCTCGTGTCTTGTTCTGGCATAGGTCTTTTATTTTTGGTCCCCTTGGCTTACGAAAGCTTATCCATTGTCTCCTATGTTACTTGTCTTTCCCTTATTGCTTCTTGTGGTTTTCATGCTTTTCCTCCTTTTTCATTTGGTGGTGGTTTGATTTGTGTGTCATGCAATTTTGGTATATCCTGTTCATATGCTCTGCTGGATTTTGGTTTCTGCACGTGACTCTTATTTTTGTGCTTCATGTTCTGATTTATTTTTTCGCCGTATGGTTGGGAATTCTGAAATCTTCACTGCTAAATGGCCATATTTACCAGATGATAATTATCTCCTTATGTTACTCTTCTCTACTCTAGGTGGATCCTTCAGGTTCATACTTTTCCTGGAAGGCTTCAGCTATGGGAAAGAATGTATCCAACGCAAAGACATTTCTCGAGAAGAGGTGAATTGTTTTCTCTTGTAATACTATATTAGTTAATTGATAGGTCCTATTAACATAATCGTCATCACTATGTACTTGTTGAGGCTTTTCTTGTTTGTCATGCTCCGAGTCTCTTAATTTTCTAGTTTAAATTCTGGTTACCGCATGTTACCTTTATAGGCTGATCATTTTCTCGATGTCCAAGAGTATGTATAGATTTCGTACTGCCTTCTCTGTTAATTGGTCTGACCGATATTCCAAGGCAGAATACAGAACTAACAAATACTCCTTTAACTGCACACTTTCATTTGATATGTTCAACTTTGTTCCCTGTAACCTACTTCATTTTTCTTGTCCAACAAGGAGAAATACGATTGATCTATCTTCTGATTTCGTTTAACATTTTTGTGTGCTCTTTGTTTCTGAGTACGTGTATATCTGTTATAATTAAGTCGGTGGTCTGGTTTTGAAATTTTTGCAGGTACACGGAAGATATGGAACTTGACGATGCTGTGCATACAGCAATTTTGACACTTAAGGAGGGGTAAGGAAATATGATTCCTTAGTACCGGTTATACTCTAATTGGTTTGGAGATGACATTTTCCTTCGTGATTTCTATCTTGCTAAAAACACAACTGGTTATACCATATTTTCAGAATATACTGTCTGCCTTTGCATTCAATTTTACAAATGTATCTCTGGTTGTAAATCTCTTTTTTACCGAAGTGAAACAAATTTCAAGGTGCTGAAGGGATCTTTTGTTGTATTGAAAGCAAACAATTTATTATTCTTGCTATTATTAGATTTTTGGATGTCGTTATGGTGATCATCTTATACAATTTTTATTCACCCCATGGTCACTGCTCTATTTCTACAGATTTGAAGGACAGATATCAGGCAAAAATATCGAGATTGGTGTGATTGGCAATGACAAAGTATTCAAGTGAGTGGTATTTTGATCATACACGACTTGTAAAGTAGCGAAATGTTAATGGTTCCTGAACTCTTTTTGCAGGATTCTTACTCCATCTGAAATCGAAGATTATTTGCAGGAAGTTGAATAGTTTTTCATCCGACCTTCAATTTATGTCATCAGACTGAATGCTGTGGTTGGTTTTGTTTGTGTAACCAATACATCTTAATCTTGATAAGATTTTTAGTCGTAATTAGAAACCTGTTTTCTCCGGACTCGAGTTATGGTGATGACTGTACGTTTGATTATGCTGACAAAAAAAAAATAAAAATTTATACATATATTGCCTGCTGCTACTAATGGCCCTTTGATCTGTAGGAGAGTTTTGATGAAAGACTCAAAGGGAGCGTTATCTCTTGCCTATCCACTAATCTATTTAGAAAGGAAATCCTTCTATGAGACTTAGTACACTTGAATGCTTTTGATGAATTTTAGTAGGTGGTTGAATATAAGTTATTTTAGTTTTGATTGGATTGTTGGATAATTAATTTTGAAAAAGTTAGTTGAGTTAGGTTTGAGTGAAATTTTGAGTTTGTATTAAAATGATATGTAAAATATTTTGATTAAAGTTGATTTAATGTAAAAATATAAGAAAAGTGATTAAAAGTGAAAGATAGTTAAAATTATGTAAATGAATAAATAGTAAATTAAAATTGATGCAATATATGAGAACAATTGATTGATATTATTTAATTATATTAATAATGTTGAGCAGGATTGAGTTGAGTTGAATTAAATTTAAGTTCGATTATAAGTTAAAAAAAAAATTAGTTTTGATCAACATGATTTGATAATCCAGAGTATCTAATCAGGGCCTTGGTCAGTGGAGACTACAGATGGGCAATGACACTCTTTTCTTCTGTTTTACAACCATAACTAAAGTCCCGCATTTTCAACATTGATTTTTCACGAACACCCAAACGAACAGTTCATCACTACTACTCAAGTTGTACAGCAAAATTCCTGCTAAGTTCCAATCCATTTCAATGCATACAAAACTCACTTTGTAAAAGTTCAGTGGCTAAAATCAGAAACCAATTTAGGGTGGCTCAAGTAAATACTCAAGTCATTACGGGTTTCCTCTTCTTTGCCTTTGAATTAGTGGGTAGTGGACCATATAGGCACAATCGTAGATCGCCCTCGAGCAATTTTTTATGCAAATAGCTTTTATACAAGTCCCAAAACTCGTCTCTGTCAAATACACACATACAAAAAGGAGCAAATCATTGAGAATGCGAATTTATTTGTAGCTACTGGACACGAGAACTGGCAAACTGAGCCAAAATTTATTAGTAGCTTAATGTTATCTAATTAAGACTTGCAATTACAAATGCAGATAATTTCAAATTAGGAAAAAGGTCAAACCTGATTTGAGGAAGAGTGAATAAGGAATAACCCTTGACATCTGTGTACATGTCGAGCACAATTAATGCTAAGCGGGACATCCCTAGTGCTTCCATATTGATGAGTTTCTTAATCCTGATAATGTTTTGGACTCATTCAGAACACAGCAAAAAATTGATAAGATGAACAAATTATAATTCAAATCAGTGTTTGATTAACAGGATGAGTAATCCAACTTCTGAGAGAAGTCCAGGAGTACAAAGAAAGATAGGTAAATCAGAAAACATGACAGACTGAAATGAGCATGGATTTAACCAATTATCACGACTAGGCTTCCTAAGATATTTAAAGGAGTTACGGAAGAATAAAAAAAAAAAAAAAACATCACGATTATTGACCAGTTTTAGAATGTTTTTTCTGTTATCATAGTCAAACAGACCGATCAAACACCTCTTGCCAGTCCAATCCAATGATTCAAATGCAATCTCAAAGTGAAAAGTATATAAGAGAAAGTCTGAAATTTTATATCTCAAAATTTTTAGATAGGAATGTGTCACTGCACACCTGCTTGGCGTTCCACTGGCAATATTGACGCGGTTCGTTAGTACGGACACCTACTTGAAGAAAAAAAGTTTTCAATAAAACATATATCTGAAAGTTAACAACACATTTCCACATATAAAAGTATAAGATCAGGCAATCGCATTCATACATTTATGTTCACAAATACTTTCACGTCATCAAAATAATTTTGAATAAAAGGTTGAGTTAACTAAATTTGGTAGTTAAGCCCATATGACCAGTAACCACATTGAAGTCTTCCGATACTAAATTTAAATTAAATTTTTGAAGTTGGGAAGTTGTCTCATTAACATGCTAAACCTGGTAAATGCTTGGGGTCATTTATTGTATACTTTTCAACAACCTGTGAGTGTTTGGTAAAGGCTTTAAAAACTCTTATAGCTTATGAAAAAACTCTTACTTTATTTGGTGGTGTTAGGCAAACTACCATATAACCTAAAGAAAGGTCTTTCTTGAAAATGCTATTGCTAATCATTCAAGAAGCCTTATGCGTTCAAATCATTAGAGCTATCGGAGAGCAATAGATTCATGAGCAAAAAGAGGCTGACCATAAATTATAGCATAGTGGTGCATGACTATAAGTCTAAAATAACGATATACCAAATTCAAGACTACAGTCTACAGCATATCTTATAACTATTGCCGCTTTCACATATTACGTAAGTATAATCAGAGGTCCAATAAATTATAGATTGTCACATGCTTCAGTTATCATACTTTAGGGACATGGTCTGCATTGCATATCACTGATAAGAATAAAGATATAAACAATTCAAACAATATAACTCAATCTGACATTTCAAATTTTCAAAATTTATAAGATTCACCACCTGTTCCTCAATCTTCATATGCTTAGAGAATAACTTTGCAGCATGGCATTCTTTTGTCAAAGACCGCAATTCCCTGTATCAGCAGTATATGGTTAATTAACAACACGAAAGAAATGTCATCTACAAATACAAACATATAAGCATAAACATTTTACATTCTTAAATAGTGTCACAAGACAAATCTCCATAATCTATCTATATTTGCAAACTGAGACACTACTTCACACACATAACTTTTTTTAATGAATTCAGAACTCTAGTTACATTGACACACAAAAAGAAAGCCGAAACAGATAAAAGTATCCACCTGAGAAGTTCCAATGATCTTAACGCTGATGAACTTATTACAAGAACTGCCGGACTCCCAGGCTGAATTTTCCCTTCTTGCAGATGTTTTCCGCACAGCACTTCTTTCCATGATGAACCAAATGAAACCTTCACGAGCTCCTCCAACTTGCCAGAAATATTTTGTGATGTGTCCTGGGATAGCTCTACTATACACGTTCCTGCAAGTTTAATGGAGATTGTGTCAACTTCAAATTCTATATCCAGAAACCAGCCCAAGAAAAACTTGAAGATATAAACTGGAATAAATCTACAAACACAATGCAAATTTCTACTGACAATGAGAATCGAGGAGCACTTTCAGAATGTTAAACGGACCACAACATATTCTTACTATAATCTGGCAACTCACTAACTTGAATCCACTTTGACGGAACTACACAAACAAAGTACACCTCCAGAACCAAAATCAACCATTGAGTGATAAAATCATCTATTTGCATTCAACACTAATGCAGAGGATGGTGGGTTCAGGCACAAGAATAAATAATATCCTAGCGATGAACACAAAGATATAACAAAACTATACCTTGAGAAGGCAAAATGATTGAACCAAAACTGAAAAGATATCAACTCATGTCCAAGGATGCATNTTCTTTAGAAAAAAAAAATAGAAAAAAAAACGTCTTAAGTCTTAACTGTCTTGTTCTCTGTGGTAATCAGCCTAGTACTGAACCAAGTAAACTCACTTAAGAAATATAGTTTCCACTTACCAACTAACTCATCATTAAAATGCATTCATTCTTGAGCTTTTGGTTATAGAATAGAGGAGCTTATAGGAAGTACAATGTTATTATGTATTCTCTGTAATTTTCTTGTTTATACCAGTCGAATACTCAAACATAAGTAAGAAATAAGCACTAAAACTTAACTGACATCACCTTTAAGCTTCATAATTACTCAGTTTATATGGAGTGTGGTACTACAAAATCCTAAGCTTTAATACGAAGGGCTCCTCCTAATCAATACAGCTTATACATGATATATCGATTCCACATTCAACTTTTGTAAGATAAAACAAGAGAATCCAACTTGAATCAAGTACACAATAGGATGTCTCCCATTAACATTAGATGACAAGAAACTAGGAAACAAGCTCAAGAACATGTAACTAGCAATCAATAACGAGAAACAGTAATCAAGCTCAATAATATATACAACTATAATCATGGGAAGGACAAAAATAACACATGAAAGCACAAGAAGGAAAAATAAAGTGAGTTTGGATGGACGGCAAAGGGCGACCATTGAGGGATTCGAGCTCCAGGGAAGATAGCTGAACACTGTTGGCGGATTGAAACTGGTTTATGAAAAAGCTCAGCTGCTGAGAGGCGGTCGGCCATTGAACGACATCACCATCCGTTCTCCCCCCAACGGTTATTTCATCTTCAGACTTCTTCTCCACACTGTTTTGGGTTTCGTTCTTACGGGACTTTTTGATCTTCTTGCCGATAGTTTTTGTTTTAGGCGGATGCTTCTTCAGGCGCTTATTAGTGGCGGCGGCCATGGCTGTAGAGTCGAGGTATGGGGTTTCTCCGTGGATTGCTTCTTGTTGATGGGCCACTTTACGCAAGATGCTAATTATAAAAATTTAACGAATTTTTCGATTAAGTAGTGTTAACTAGTATTGGAGAAATGAGAATGTGCATTTGCAAAATGTAATTGAAGTATTATAAATTATTTATATGTGTATAATATTAGAATAATAAGTTAGATAATAATATTATATTTTAAACATAGAGTATTATAAGTTATATTTATAGATATAATATTAAAATTATAAGTTAGATAATTATATTGTGTTTTAAAATTGATATTTATAGATATAATATTAAAATTAAGTTAGATAATGATATTATGTTTTAAAATTTGATCATAGGTTAATATAAACAGTACATAACGATTTAATTTCATATGAATCACTATATTGGATTGCATAAAATATAATAAATAAGTTTTTATTTATTTATTTTGAGAGATCATGACCAACTAATTAGCTAAAAAAATATTAAATTTATATGACAATTGCTTATCGATTTTAAGGAATTTTACTATGACATTAAAACAAATAAATTTATTTTAAAAAACAATCACTTAATCAGATTAAAAAATATAATATTACTTTTAGAACAAATGACTTGAACAAAAAGTCTTTACAATATTTTTTTTTATATTTATGTGAGTTTCATATATCATTTAGTATAAAATATAAGTATTAATTTTAATAATAACTATTGTATGATACAATAAAAAATATAACTATGAAGCAATTAATATAAAATGTAACGATTTTTATCTTAATTAACGAAAAAAAGTGCAAAGAAATATTTTATCATTAATGGTATATGGTGAATTAATAAAATAATAATAATAATATTGGGTTATAATGGTGATTTATTAGGTTTTATTTATAAATTTTATTAATGATTTGCCAGCAATTATATATATACCAACTTGAGTAGTTGAGATTTGTGGAGAGGTGGGGGGAATGTACTTGGATGTAAAGGACTGCTAGAAAATGAGACTATGATGCCAGTCTCATTTTTTGTGTACCATTGGGATTTAGTAAGTTATCCAATTTTATAATGAATCTTCCCTTCTTCGTTTATTGTTTGGAGATAGTTTAAATATTGATGCATTTTCTGATTTTCAGTATGAATCTGGAATTTTTGGTATTATTGCATCTCTAAAGTGCTACTGTTAATAATGAAATATTTATGTCAGTTAGCCTTTAGTTATCTGCTTGTAGTGTCCAAACTTAATTCTATCCCAATTACTAAAAAGAGAATGAAAAATAGACAAGAGGAATTAAGTTGGGTTGTCTTTGAGGTCTAATTGGTTTGAAGTTTCTGAACTGGTGCCCATAATCCATCCCCTGAACTGCTTTTATGCTTTCAATTACCAGTGATGAAATTTTGGTTTGTAGTTTGTGTTTGATGCTAGGAACACTACAACAGCTACAGCTAGTACTATTCCATCATATATCTCAACATTTGTCGAATAACTAATTTCTAAAATTACCTCTATTGTTTCCTTCTATCCTAACAATTCTCTACTTTGGTTTCAATTTTCATTTGATGTCATTGTTGGCAAGGGAGGATTGGATGTTTTTTCTTTTTTTTTTTTTGNTTTTTTTTTTTTGATGGAGTTGGAGCATGGATGAAGCTGTGGTAACTACCGTGGGATTAAGTTGATGAGCCATACGATGAAGCTCTGGGAGAGAGTTATCGAGCATCGCATACGACGAGTGTGATCCAAAACCAATTTGGGTTTATGCCTGGAAGGTCGACCATGGAGGTGATTTTCCTAATACGACAGTTGACGGAGAGATATAGAGACCAAAAGAAGGACTTGCACATGGTCTTTATCGACATTGAGAAGCTTATGACAGAGTACCGATGAATGTCATGTGGTGAGCCTTAGAAAAGCACAAAGTCCCATCTAAGTACATTACCCTCATCAAGGATATGTACAAGTATGCGATGACGTGTGTCCGAACATATGGGGGCGATACCAACGACTTCCCAATTAAAATAGGACTACACCAGGGGTCAACATTGAGCCCTTATTTATTTGCCTTGGTGATGGATGAGGCTACAAGGGATATACAAGGTGATATCCCTTAGTGTATGCTCTTTGCTGATGATGTGGTGCTAGTTGACGAGAGTAGGGCAAGGGTTAATAGGAAGTTAGAGCTGTGGAAGGACACATTAGAGTCGAAAGGCTTCAGACTTAGTAGGACGAAGACCGAGTACATGAAGTGCGCTTTCAGCATGGCTACACATGATGATGGTGACGTTAGCCTTGACGGGCAAGTGGTGGCCAAGAAGGAGACTTTCCGGTATTTAGGATCGATGCTACGAAAGGATGGCAGCATTGATGTAGATGTCAGGCATAGAATTACAGCCGGTTGGTTGAAATGACGTCAAGCCTCGGGTGTTCTCTGTGATAAGAGGGTGCCACAAAGGCTAAAAGGTAAGTTCTATAGGACGGCAATTGAGCCCCTTTTTGTGTTTCTCTTACTATTGGTTCTCTTGGGTTTCATCTCTAGCCTACCCCAACTTGTTTGGGACTAAAAGGCTATGTTGTTGTTGTTGTTGTTGTTGTTGTGGAGCTGGAGCATGGACCTATATTAGCAAATCTATATTTGATATGTGATAACTCGAAAGCCTTCCCAATACAAAGATGAGCATAAACATCATAATGAATAATATCAAACATTGTTAAACTATCATACACTTATAATAAAGCATCAAAAGCACACCTTTTGCCTCTCTAGAGGCTACAAAATCAACAAGTAAACTTGCCGAGGCTCGTAATTCGCTTCCAAAATCACTAGTATCTAAGGTATATTAGGTGCTCATCGTCTAATAAAATCAATGCATCTAGAGCTGATTTTTTGTAAATGTGTATTTTTTGCAATGACTTTGCTGGGTAAACAAGGATGTATGGGCGAATGTGTGCTGTTGGCTCAGGTGAATATTACATAGTTAGCACGACAATCATTGTGCATGTAGTAACACCACAATTGGATTGTACACTAGCAGTCCAGCTCTCGAAAGAGTGAAAAATATAATAAAATTAAAGAGTAAATAAATTACTTAAATATCGAGGCAAAAATATAATTTAAGAA